CGTGGTTTGCAAACATTATTCATGCTTCACCATGCTCTGGATTCTTCAACATGAATATGATGAGAATAAATATTGAAAATGTGTGTTTCCAGCATTAATCAGGCTGGCGGTAGATTGAAACTCCTAAATGAACCAACGCCAATGGCCCATTCAATATTACTGAGAAAGAAGACTCAATCAAATTTGCATAAATGAGCAAGCTTTAAAGAAAAAAAAAAGATTGTTTGCATCCTGAGAGATTACTTATTAATAATATTTGAAATAGAAATCTGCTTGCACTCAGGCACAAATAAGGACAATTCACATTTGCATTTAAGAATTACCGCCTCCTTTTTAACTGCGATGAGAACGAGGAACTTAGAGCAGAATGGATAGGTGGGTGGTAATGAAATTGGAAGTGATTCAAATAAGCTTTTAATTTCAGTCCAGCGTTTATGAAACATTAATGAAGAGAGAAGATGTGTTGCTGTGAAGCCTCCCCAGCGCAGGAGGAGCACGATGTCATTAAAACACGTTGGAGAAGCAGCAAACGAAGCTGACACGTCTGCCTTTATTAAAATATTCATATTTCTTTTTGATTTCTTTTTTACAAAGTGTATACGTAATAAAATGTTTAAAAGAAAAGCATGTGTGACACAAGCGGTGACTCTCTTTGAGGTTCAGAGCAGCATTAAATAATCATGCACACTTCTGCATCCATTCACAAGGTTGTTTTAAAGCAAACATGAATATCTGGAGCGTAGGCATTCTTCCCACGTGCACGGGAAAGAAATGTTTTACTGAGGGCTGAACATGCCTACAGACCGAATAACCAAATCAGTTGGTGGAGTTTGAGTCTGGCCAGCCTCCACCTGTTAACCCTGCAGGATGCCTTCTGTAATGAGAGCCCATTGTGCTTGCTGTGCCTCACAGTCCACCAGCTTTTACACACAAACAATGATCTAGTACCCATTACATTTCCTCTGCAGCTTTGCTATGAGATGCATTACAACTTCAGGAACTCACAAACTGTCTTGGGTGTTGGTAAATATAGAGGCTGCATTTTTATTTTACCTCAGAATATTTAAACTTTACTTGAAAATGATAGTAAAACAATAGTAAAATACAATCAAACAGCAGCTGTACATAATGTTTGCATATCATGCATATCATGAAGCTGTTGTTGCTTCATGATATGCATGAGGAAGACAAATCCCTGTCTTGATGTGCAAAATAACTCTCAGAGCACTCAGATTCTCTCCATTCAGAATGAATCAAACTTCCATTCTCACATGCCAAGGTACGTTCTCCTATTTCATTGCGTGCACCATCATGAAAATTCTGTCCTGAGATGATTTGTCAGCATTCTGCAGTCTGTAACTGTCTCCAAAAGTCAACAAAAGATATTTAAGAAGTAGTTCTACATGTTCAAGATTCTCTAAAATATGACAAGTTAAAAAGGCTCTCGTATTGTCTATTGTGGGGAACATTTCGTTGTCAAAATAATGTCAAGCTTGGCTCAAACATCTCCCGCTGCTTCAATCCGCCCAGCGTTTAGCTTTCCATGGAACAGGTACACCTTTCAAGTTTCTACTTTTGCAGACAGATCAAATATGGTGAAACCGCAGAAAATCAGAAAGCTTACATTGAGTATCATGTTGTTAGGCAATTCTGCACTAAAAGGAAGTTCTTACTACTACCAGGGTAGACCATCTGACAGATTAGAAATAAATCTGAGATATTATGCTGCCTCCTTTGTTTTAATCTGGGCTACTGTGGATGTCTGTTTGTCCTCCTAAATCTTCTGTTGCTAATTGAAATAATAAAACAATGCAAAGAAGGATTGTAGCTGCAGAAAATAACTGAATAATAACTCAGATTGTGCATCAGATTTAGGAATTCTGCAGTGGTCACTTAGCCCGTGTGCCCAAGGTTCCACGTGAGTCATTCACGTTGAAAGGAGACATTTGCGGTGAATAATCATCAAAGTTTGCTCATAACACTGTATGCATGCAATATTAGTTTAATTAAACCTGAAAGCATTTATTTAAAAATGTCAGGTGTCTACTTAGTATTCACTGAATATAATATACATGGAATGTAATGAAGGAAATGAAGTGTGGACAGAATTTTGGGAATAATGCCGTTGCTATGGCTGGAACAGGATATCAGTGTAGCTCAGAAAATCTGCAGTCTATCTGCCACAGTTGAATTTGGAGTATCCCAAATTTAGGATTCACTCATTCGGACAGTACAAAGGAAAAGGTGGTAAGAGCAGGAGTAGAAAGGGAATGAGGGGGGTGGCGTGCCAGAGGATTGGCAGAAGCTACAAGATGTGACACAGAGCACACCGGCTTGCAGGGTGGTTCCTGCTTTATACTCCAATCACACAGCCTCACTGCTCCACACGACATTTTAATCTGATCCCCAACCCGAGGAGATGGCGGCATGGCAGAATTCTGTTAAAAGGCTGAAGCAGAGTGCTTTTATTGGCTTTTCCTTCAACTCTTTTGGATGGTTCTTTAACTTCAGCACAAAAACTTGTTGACCTTCTTCTCATTACATTTAGCTTTATATGCTGACTGTGTGCATCCAAGCCAGAGAGCGGTGTGAATGAACGATCGGGGAAGCGGATCTTTTGCGTAAACTGTGTACATGAGTGTGGTTGCAAACGCACAGCACTACTTTTGATTGGATTAGTCAGAGACATCCATCCTTTTAGCCCCAGCTCCTCTCCATTGGTAAGGGGCCACATTATTGATCCTGAACAGCTCCATTTCCTTTCTCTGTCCAAACAGATTAGATGCTCGGGCTTTACGCAGCCAAGCCCGATCCCTCCTCCTTCTTCTCTCTTTAAACTCCGGATTCCTCTCCATTTGTCTCTGTCCTTCTCTATCTTGTGCAGAGTTCCTGCTCTGTGAACTCATACTTTTGTGTACAGGTGCTGGCCAGTAAATTAGAATATCATCAAAAGGTTGAAAATATTTCAGTAATTCCATTCAAAACGTGAAACTTGTACATTATATTCATGCAATGCACACAGACCAATGTATTTCCGATGTTTATTACGTTTAATTTTGATATTTATAGGTGACAACCAATGAAAACATCAAATCTGGTATCTCAGAAAATTGGAATATTCTAAAGGCCAATGAAAAAATGTTTGTTTCTCTAATGTTGGCCAACTGAAAAGAATGAACATGAAAAGAATGTGCATGTATAGCACTCAATACTTAGTCGGGGCTCCTTTTGCCTCAATAACTGCAGTAATGCGGCGTGGCATGGACTCGATCAGTCTGTGGCACTGCTCAGGTGTTATGAGAGCCCAGGCTGCTCTGATAGTCGTCTTCAGCTCCTCTGCATTGTTGGGTCTAGCGTATTGCATCCTCCGCTTCACAATACCCCATAGATTTTCTATGGGGTTAAGGTCAGGCGAGTTTGCTGGCCAATCAAGGACAGGGATACCATGGTCCTTGAACCAGGTGCTGGTGGTTTTGGCACTGTGTGCAGGTGCCAAGTCCTGTTGAAAGGTGAAGTCTGCATCCCCATAAAGTTGGTCAGCAGCAGGAAGCATGAAGTGCTCTAAAACTTCCTGGTAGACGGCTGCATTGACCCTGGACCTCAGGAAACAGAGTGGGCCAACACCGGCAGATGACATGGCACCCCACACCATCACTGACGGTGGAAACTTTACACTGGACCTCATGCAACGTGGATTCTGTGCTTCTCCGCTCTTCCTCCAGACTCTGGGTCCTTGATTTCCAAAGGAAATGCAGAACTTGCTTTCATCAGAAAACATAACTTTGGACCACTCAGCATCAGTCCAGTCCTTTTTGTCCTTGGCCCAGGCGAGACGCTTCTTGCGCTGTTTCATGTTCAAGAGTGGCTTGACACACGGAATGCGACACCTGAATCCCATGTCTTTCATGAGTCTCCTCGTGGTGGTTCTTGAAGCGCTGACTCCAGCTGCAGTCCACTCTTTGTGGATCTCCCCCACATTTTTGAATGGGTTTGTCGTCACAATTCTCTGCAGGGTGCGGTTATCCCTAGAGCTTGTACACTTTTTTCTACCACATTTTTTCCGTCCCTTCGCCTGTCTGTTAATGTGCTTGGACACAGAGCTCTGCGAACAGCCAGCTTCTTTAGCAATCACCTTTTGTGTCTTGCCCTCCTTGTGCAAGGTGTCAATGATTGTCTTTTGGACAGCTGTTAAGTCAGAAGTCTTCCCCATGATTGTGGTGCCTTCAAAACAAGACTGAGGGACCTTTTAAAGGCCTTTGCAGGTGTTTTGAGTAAATCAGTTGATTAGAGTGGCAGCAGGTGTCTTCTATATTCAGCCTTTTCAGAATATTCTAATTTTTTGAGATACCAAATTTGGAGTTTTCATTAGTTGTCACTTATGAATATCAAATTTAAATGTAATGAACATTGGAAATACATTGGTCTGTGTGCATTGCATGAATATAATGTACAAGTTTCACGTTTTGAATGGAATTACTGAAATATTTTCAACCTTTTGATGATATTCTAATTTACTGGCCAGCACCTGTACTTCTGATCCCTTTGAGTATTTTCCACCATGTACTTGTCTTATCTAAATCGAGGCACATATCTGTTTTCTCTCCCTTATCTTCTCTCAGCTCTCTCCTGTAAACACTGTGAACATCACCTCTGTCTCTCTCTCAACTCACGGTTTTCTTGCTGCTCGCCAATTAAGACTAAAAGTAGATTCTGAGTGATTCTGAGTTGTTAGGGTGGATCAGTCATATCATGTTTTCATTTATGTTAAAAAGAAAGACATATAACAGGAAGAAATTGACTTGCATGCTCAGATGATGACAGATTTGGTAAACAAAACAAAATATGGAATGTATCAAGGTATTTCTTATTGGAAAGACGGACTGGATTAAGATAAATCCAAGTAATTTAATCTGGATAACACATCTTGTCTACTTCTGTGAAGTTCTATACACATGGATGAGCTAAGAAACAGTTTTCCTGGTTTTGTCTCTGTGTTTCAGCAGGCTCTTTACCCCAGCCCAGAGGAAGGCTGGCAAATCTACAGTTCAGCACAGGACGCAGATGGGAAGTGTATCTGTACCGTGGTGGCACCCGCTCAGAACATGTGTAACCGCGACCCACGCAGCAGGCAGCTCCGCCAGCTCATGGAAAAGGTGACAGCTGTCAATAACACACTCTCTCGGAGACCCAACTGTTACCCACTCAGACACACAAACACAAACTGCTGCTCTGCACTTTTATCTGGCACCACTTGTCACGTACAGGTCACCAAACCAACCAGCTTCTGCACCCAAAAACAGATCTAATGTGACCTGATTTGGAAAATTATGAGTTTCTGAGACATTGGTCAGATACATAACTCAAACGTTCCTCAAAAACTTCAGCGTTTGCATTATTAAGACTCAAATCTCATGTACACACAAATCACTTGACCAACAGGACATATGCAAATGAAATATTCTTTAAGAATTTAATAAGTAAGTATATCTTATTTATAAAGCACTCATTACAGACAGAAAATCACTAAGTGCTTCACATAGACCATGACAAATAGTACAGTTATAAAATCATAATGTTCTCAACGCCGGGGACACACCGGCCGCGGAAGCGCCGCGAAAATGGGACCGCCTTCATTCGGCGCCCTTGTTAAGCTATTCTATAGACCACATGGGCCGCCGAAGCGCCGCGAATTGCCTCGCGCCGGCGCCCCAGCCCGCGCCGTGCAGCGATCATTTCGGCGTCAGCTCTATTTTTTTCGCGAGCAGCGGGTGAATCGCGTCAATTCTGGCAGGAAGTCAAACCTAGACATAAGAGGCAGGCCGGTAAAGTTAACAAAATAAAGCATTTCAAAATAAAATTCCGCAATAGTCAAACGTGTTCGTAATCAGACACTGCAGAAAAACCACACGAACACACACACACATCGAACTTGTGTGCGTGTGTGACCACGTGAAGGGGTGAGTGGTTTTGGGTGTCTTTTCGCCGGAGCAAACAGGTCAGAGAGGTAGAAAGTCTGAGGCAAGCAATTAAGATGGATGACTTTAAATTAATTATTGAAGTTGAGAAACACAAGGAGCTGTACGACCCCCGAAAAACATGATTATTTACGTACCCATAGGATACAGCTGCAGAAATGGAGCGGGTTCCAAGAGATTCAACTGGCAGAAACAACTCATACCATAGGTTCACACTCACACACACACACACACACACACACACACACACACACACACACACACACACACACACACACACACACACACGCACGCACGCACGCACGCACACACACACACACACTCAAACGTAGAGGAAAAGAGCTGAGAAAAGGCAGAGAGGAAGAAAAACTACAGCTGAGCCGAGGCGCGCCTCGACCGGGGCGCGTCTGATCTGAACTGAGGAGCGGCGAGCAGCGGCCGAATTTCGTGAGCGATTCGCTTCTCGGCGCTTCGCGGCGCTTCCGCGGCCGGTGTGTCCCCGGCGTGAAGCAGAAATAAATAAAAATCACAAAAAAAGTCATAAAATTATTAAATACCATAAAACAAATGAAAGATGATTACAAATTTGAGTTAAAAATAAGAAAACAAAGAGATTTATGTAAAGCAGCTTTAAATAAAAGAGTCTTTTTTTTAAAGTGTCCAGACTGTCAATGCTGCGTAAGGATAAAGAAAGATCATTCCAGAGTCGGGGTGCAACAGTCTGGAAGGAGCGATCACCTGACTTTTGTTTCTGTTCTTTGGAACTTCTAGAAGGTTCTGGTGTGTGGACCTGAGGGCTCGGGTTGGAGCATAAGGCTTTAACAGTTCAGTAATAGGGAGGAGTTTGACCATGTAGAGCACTGAAAGTTATAATCAGGATTCTAAAATGAACTCTAAAGTTAACGGGTAACCAGTGCAGAGACAGAGAATAGGAGTGATGTGTGCTCTTTTGTTTGTTCCAGTTAGGAGCCTTGCTGCAGAGTTCTGGACCAACTGAAGGTGGTCAAGGGCTTTTTTGTTAAAACATGTGAAAAGTGTGTTACAGTAATCTAGACGGGAGGAGATAAAGGCATGGAGAACCATTTCAAGTTCATGTTTCGACACCAACCTTTGCAGTTTGGAGATGTTTCTTAAATGATAAAAACAGTTTCGGACCAACGCTTTTGAGTGGCCTTCAAGAGACACTGATTGGTCAAAAAAAAAACACCCAAATTCCTCAAGTTTGTCTTGACGATAGAGGATAAATGACCAAGATTTAGAATCCTTAAAGGAGCAGTACAGCTGAATATCATCTGTATATAGTTGATAAGAGACATAATGAAAACAATCAATTATTTGTCCAATAGGGTGAATATACAGTAGAAAAAAGTGTGGACTCAAAACAGAGCTTTGGGGTACCTCACAGAACAGATCAGTAGAATCTGACATGATCTGGTTTATACAGACCCTGTAGCTTCTGTTAGAAAGGTACGATCTAAACCTGTCTAGAACAGTTCCAGAGATCCCACCGAGTCACACTCACATGCAGACAGATCCTACTATCTACTATCCATATCTGGAGGCAGTATATGTACGCTTTTTTAATTATATGAGTAACTATTTAGAAATGAAAAAAAAAACTGGTAAATTGTCTTCAAATATGTTCAAACTGCTCTATCAGTCAGGATTCAACAAGCCACAAAGATAAATCAGTCAAATCAGAGTAGTTAACACTGGACAACCAAAGCCGGCACATTGTTGAAATAGAAGGTTGATGGGGCAAATGAAAGCAGAAGATGCAGAGAGGTAGAAGAAGGGAAAGTACTAATGTTCACTTGGTCCTGGGTGAGAAGGTGGAGGAAAACTGAGAAGATGAATGTGCTTAGAGGTCCTAATTCACACATCGTTGCTGAAGTCTGCCTCTTCCCCTTGATAATCACTGTCGGAGGAAGTTTCAAGCAAATGTTTTTGCAAACAAAATTCACAAACAGCATATAGAAATAAGAAAAACACATCATGGCACAGATTCAGACTGATCTGATTAACTGATCTCTGAGCAGCTGGTGAAAGTTTTAGGAAAGGCGCGTGTCTGTGTGTGTGTGTGTGGGGGGGGGGGGTAAAGTGAGAGAAAATATTATGTGATATGTTGGAGTGCTTTCAGTTTGAAAGATTGACAAATTCTGCAAAAAGAAGTGGGCGGTAAAGGGGTTGATGTGGAATAATTTGCGGGATTTAGCTGAATTAAATTGTTTACTTTTATTTTCACTCCTTTTTATAAGCTGTGACTAAAACCATTTTCCTGGGTAGACTAAAAGGTTATGTCAAAGATTACCTGAACTCTGTTCATGCAAATTGAAACTCAGCTAGTGGATAATGGGTTTTAAACATTGCAAGATGAAAATATAATATTTTAAAAGTCTAAAATATTATTTTTAATTTTTATTTATTTTTTAAAGTAAAGAAGAGCGAAATAAATCATATATTTTGAACTCACTTAGTTTTCATGAACTGGTGTCACCCCTTAAAATCCTGTACTTTGTTCACCAAGCTTCTGGAAGAGTCTCAGCTCAAAAAAACTTTGCCAGATATATTATTCATTTACAATGTGGGTGTTTATGCCACACTGTGTGTCCTCTTCATGTGCTCCCTTGTCCTCGTGTCCGATACGGTCCACAGCCAGGCTTAATGAGGACACCTGGGGTCAGCAGCGTTTCAACTGCACCCAGTGAAGACCGCAAATTAAAAGACTTTTTGTGAGCCTGTGTGTGTGTGTGTGTGTGTGTGTGTACAAATAATACAGCATTGCTTACCAAGGCATCCTCATCTGAACCCAGAGCATGAGGGGGAGAGTTGTTTGAGTCCAGATTCACCAAAAGCTCTCACTGACACAGGGAGCCAAGGGTGCATTAACAATGTCAAAACTGCACTTTGTTCAAAGAATTTAAAGTAGCCTCGTGCAGAATTTCTATTCAGCTATCCGCAAAGCCAGATAAAGAGCTGACCCTGAAGGATGGTGCCGTGAAAACACTCACAGCAGACCTTTGAACATCTCTTCCCCCTTTGACCTCCGCTTCTGGCTGACTGAACTGAGATCAAATCAAATGAAAAATGTGGCCACGGTCAAACATACACACAACCATGCTTGATGCAGAATGAGTCATCACACTAGGCAAAAATCCAAAACACCTGTGAATGACTGAAAATGTGGGACACTGAGATGAACAGCATTTAGGCTGCAGGGACGTTTTATTCTAACACTTTTTTAAAGATGTCCCATATGCACCGTCTTTTAAAAAGTTTTAATTGCAAAGAAAAATGGTTTATGATCCAGTATTCCCCAGCAACCTCATGATGCATGTGGGAGGAGATGCAGGTGCAGGACATGAAGTAGTTGAGTGGGTTGTCGGGGTGTAGGCAGCAAGGCATTTGGTGCTGAACAGACTATATGCCAAATGGTAACATTTGGAATCGAGTGTCTAGTTTATCAAATGATCTTTTCAGGGCCTAAAGTGCTAATGTTGCACGTCCGCACGGCCGTGCATCTGTTCCTGTGGGTAGCTGGACATATGCACGACAGCCCTGGAACGTTTGTCAGCGTTTGGAAGGTTTTCTGGCTGGTTCAGTGTGGCGTGCAGGAGATGAGAGGGTGTGTAGAGCAGTGGGCTGGTTGTGTCACGTTGAGAGCAGTTTGGACCCAGAATGCAGAAACCCAGACAACTCGGGCAGGAGCGGTTGAATAAATGAAAAGTCATTTCATTAGGATGATGAGTAAATATCCAAAGGGCAGGAAACCAAGCCTAAAGTATAGAAAAAACTGAATTACTAAAACAAAGCTCGTTTATGAGCATGATCCTGGGGTTTCTAGAGGAGGACAGACCAACACTGACAAAGACAATGAACCGACTAACACTAAGGCCTAGTTCACACGTAGCCGTTTTTTTTTTTAAAAACGAATATCCGCCCCTCCAAAAACTTGCATCCAGACCACCTCGTTTAAAGAAAAAAACTCTGTCCACACGTACCCGGATAAATACGTTGTTAAGGACATGCCAGACCTGTAGGCGGCAGTACTTCCCCCGTTCTTAACCTCGTCCTTCGTCTGTGGTCTTCCGCAAGGAGCAGTAATTCCGCTTGCAAAAACAAACAAGCAGTACATAGATGCTGTCATATTATTCACTAAGCTGTTGGTTTTGGCTGTTGTATTGACGAGACTGTAATCCTCAACGAGAATATGTATCTTGTTCAATTACAAATAAAGAATAAAAAAAAACAAGCAGAAAGCGCTTGGACCATTGATAAAGCGAGCGCAGCTCTGAGGGCATCCATGCTGTCGGCTAGTGTAAACACAGGTCGCACACGTGATGTCAGCATTTTTTTGTCACGGAAAGTGACGTTGCGGACCTTAAAACTCCGGTTTTGTCCGTCCACACGCAGACACCCAAAACGGAGAAAAGGCAGATCTTCACTTTGGCCGGAGTTTTTAAAAAGATCCGTTTTCGTGTGAAAAAACTCCGTTTTCGTGTGGATGACAGGCCAAAACGTAGAAAAACATCTACGTTTTGGCAGATCCCCAGCTACGTGTGGACAGGGCCTAAGAGACAAGACAGGGTTTTATACACAGGGGCTGGGTGATTAAGGGAATTGGACACAGGTGAGATTGATAACTGAGAGGAGGAGCAGAACAGGACAGGTGAGGAAACCAGACCTAAAATATTTAAGACAAAGCTACTGAACGTAAATAAACCTAAACACTGTAGAAATAAGACTAAAGATAAATAAACTAATGACCTCAGAGTGACAGAACTAATTATACTGGAAGGCAGGAGAGGATCATACTTAAATGGGGAAGGAACACAATACATTAAAGATAGATATGAGCTAGATAATCTAAAATAACAGAAAACTAATGATAGGTGAAGTGACGAGAGGGAAACCTGGAGAAGCTGGGGACCAAAAGGGGCACAGAAGATTAGGGGACACATGAGGGAACCTGGAGGGGCTGGGGACCACAGGGACACAGAACATGACAGGTTGTGTACTAACAAAGTGAGCTGTCAAAGTCTGAACAAGCTTAGAACTTAGAAAAGAATTAAACACAGAACAAAACGGAGTCCTCTGAGGAAAGGGATTCAGTAAACGCCTCCTTAGCAGCATGCTTACTCATCGAAGAGTTTGTTCAGTTTTATTTTTACCTGTTAACTTGTTTGCAACACTTGGTGGCTGTTATACTTTATTATACCACTAACTAAATACCACTAACTGCTACTGTTTGATAATGTTTCCTAAAAGGTTTTTTGAGATTTGAGTTCATCCTTTTTTCAGAAAACCCAACAGTGATAAGAAAGTGGCCGTTTACGTTCCGCTGTTTGATTGAACTAAATCTACAAACTAACCACACTCCATACCTGAAAGTTAAAGGTGGAATATGGAACATTTCAATAAAAATGTATATTTAAAAAAATAATACCTCCACGGGGCATTTAGATGTGTGCAGAATGAAGGCACAGTTTCTCCTACAAAAGTTATATTTAACAAAATAAATAATCAAATTTTTATTTTGACGGGCACGACACAGGGTTATGTTTGCATCTACCTGCCAATAGGGGGCACCGTTGCAGTAAAAGGTCTGGCTGTGGCGAGGCTGTGACTGTGGCAAATGGCAGACTCTTTAGGTCTAGCAGCTGATTCTGAGCCCAGAAGAAGTTCTAATGGTAAATACTGTTGTATAATAAACTCAGTGGAAATGACTCCTTATCCTGTACAATTTGTCCCCTTGGCATGGTGCTGGCTGGACATTGTGTTCAGATGTTGCACTCCCACCTCTAAACACTCGATGCTATAGTGTCCGTGTTCCATCTTCAACCTTCAAATAGATAGACAGATAAATCATTGTTCCCTAAAAAGAACTGATCTGTCACAGCAGCAATCACAAAAGCCTGCCTACAAAAAAGGCACAACAAAGGGTAAAGTACTGGATGTAAAACAGTCATCGAATATAAATCAGAGGCAAACCTAAACAGAATCTTAGCAGTAAGATAAAACATGTAAACATGGGACACTGAATTTCAACAGGAGCCCTTTAATTACAGAAGGTGTAAAGGTAAAATTGCAGGGGTGACTCAAACTCGAACCTGCAGACACACATTCATGACCGCAGACACCCAAGGGTCTGAGAAGTGGAGTCTTGTTTCTGTCTTCTTGATGTCATTGTTAGTCTACCAGTTCAACTTGTTGTTAAACTACAACATTGGTAGTTGCACTCTCCAGATTCACCACCCAGGATGTTGTTTGGCCAGAGGTAGAATAGAATAGAATAGAATAGAATAGAATTTATTGATCCCACAGTGGGGAAATTCACTTGTTAGAGCAGCACTTAAGAGAATCTTTTGAAGAGAAATAATAACAAATAGGCAGATAGCTATTATTGTAACCTTCAACCACTAACCCTAACCCCACAAGTACAAAATGAAGAAGTTGGGTTCCAGAACTATGCAGCATGCTGTAAGAGTCACAGACATACCATGTAAATCTGGTATTGCGCAAGTATTGAACACATAATGAACATTGCACTGATGTTATTGAGTACCAGGATGATGTCAGTGCCAGTTAAATTGAGGCGTTATACACGCTTACTGCAAAGGGGATGAAAAACCTACGGTAGCGTTCTGTTTTACATCTGGGATGTCTCAGTCTGGCTCTGAAGGAGCTGTCCATGGTCTCCACAGCAGAATGCAGTGGGTGGGAGTTTTTTTTTAATGTGGAGGTCATCTCCCCCAGCATCCTCCTTTGAGGATGAGACGATTCCTCCCTTAAAACATTCCCCATCTCCTTCACCTTGGCCGTAACCAAACTATTGTGTGTTATTGCATTACAGGTTCAGAACATTAGCCAGTCAATGGAGGTTCTGGATCTGAGAACCTACAGAGACCTTCAGTATGTAAGAAACACCGAAAGTCTCATGAAGGTTGTGGATGGAAAGTTGAAAGTGGCTTCTGACAATCCGCGCAGCCTCAATCCCAAGGGCTTTCAGGTAAGTGTGCCACCGTGTGGACTCTGAAGTGGGAATGATGTCAACTGAATACAGACACTCTGGATGTGAAATTGATTTCTAAAATAAGCTAAATGCAGTGTAAAGTTGGGGGGGGGGGGGGGGGGGGGGTTGTTGCTCTTCACAGACAATTAAATTTTATGGGAGGTCTATAGACTGCTTTATAAACATTGGGACACAAATTCAATTCCCGCTCTACATCTGAGGTGTTCAGCACATGCCTCACATGCGCTTGAATGATGAAGACAAGCCTTGGCTCTCTCTCCAGCTGCACCGAGCCTCTTCCACTACTGTACACATGTAACATTCAGACATCTCCTTTTAGATAACAGGCTTGCACTCACATTTATCTTCACCTTATCTCCCTACAAGCCAATGCTTGGCTGCTGTAATCAGTAGGCCTTTATTTCTTGTCAGCATGCTGTCTTCAACAGGCTTTCTCCACATTCCTCACACACTTACAATTATTAGATGGCCCATAAAATAGTTTGATTAAAAGATGCTCTGATAAATGCTACGTGTGCTTTGCTTCTGGGTTCGTGCTTGAGCAAGGGGACAAGTAGCAGACTTCTGTGTTTGTGCGCAGTGAGTTTTATTCTAAGTTTTCCAACAATTAAAATTAAGATGTCTGTAAAATGTGTTAGTTCATCAATAAGGTGTGAGATTAATGAAAAATGCTCAGAGGAAAGACGATGATTTCATTTGTCTGAATGCAAAGGGAAAACTTTCATGCTCCAAAACAAAACGGATTTGGCCAAAGCAGGTCGGCTGATGAATGCACGCAGTTTAAAGTTGCCAATGGCAGAGCATGGGAGATTAACGAGAGGGGATTTTTGCAGCTTGAAAAAGTGAAAATAAGATTTATGATGTGGCGCCACAGGGCTGAGAGCTGCTCCATCACCAGATTTACGATAAACCCTAACAAGGAGGAAGCAGCCCTTCCTGTGGCGGCAACGCTTTATTGATACACCTTTTTCTCTCATCCACCTTCCATGCATCCAGCCCCACTCGCTTGCTGCTCCCTGCGCCCTACCTACCCGAGCACACGTTGTTCTTTTGCTCACAATGAGTCACAGCTCAACTACAGAGGAAGCTCCTTCCTTTCATTCGGTTCATCCAAAATTATTTTGTAACACACGACAGATAAAAAGTACTGAGAGAGAACGGTCTAAAGACATTTAAATGAAAGCAGATCTGTGCTTGCAAATAATGAACTAAACAAATGGGTGGAAACTGGGCCAGTGCTTTAACAAGAAGGCAACAATGTGTTTATTTGTAATAATTAATGAGAGTAAATGACAAATAAAACAAGACAATAAAAAGAAATGACAGAAAATGTCAGAGATGAATCCGGTAAATCTGATAATGATGTGGGAGTGTGTGAGAGCTGCACCAGGAAATGCAAACAGGTAAAGATGATCTCCTGGGTCACATGGAACTGGAGATTAAACAACAAGACACTCATGTGTGAAATCTGTTTTCCCTGACTCCCACTGGGAATTATTCTCTAAAGGGTCCAATCTTCCCTAACCCTTTGCTCCCGTGTCTCCTACTTTACTTTAGGAGTTGAAAGACAAGGTGAACCAGCTGCTCCCCCTGCTGCCGGTGCTGGAACAGTACAAGGCAGATGCCAAGATGATCCTGCGCCTTCGAGAGGAAGTGAGGAATCTTTCTTTGGTGCTGATGGCCATCCAAGAGGAGATGGGAGCCTACGACTATGAGGAGCTGCGCCAAAGAGTCCTTCTGCTGGAGACCAGACTCCACTCCTGCATGCAGAAACTAGGTATGAAAGTGTGAGGATGATTGTCTAAACCTGCCTGATTATAGAATATTTGAACGTTTCAAGAAATATGTGAAAGACGTAGCTGCAGCAAGAAATGGATTGAAGTTAAAACTCACATTTGCACTTTAATTACTGTCAGACGTTTTACAATCAGTGAGCGATTCGGTCTGCTTCAAACATGTTTGCTGTAGATCCGATAAAACCACCCGCCTAATTTTTGTTTACTGAGATTCATTTTACAAACAAACACAACTCATTTAGTCAGAATCCTGAGGTCCTCTGTAACTTTTTTATTGTGACTGAAAATAAAAATATTTCAGTGGTGATTGTAAATAACTTTGTAAATAGTCAATAAATACTTTTTCAACTATCTATTGGCTAATGTTACAACAAGGACATGGTTATCAGTCAAATTTAAAACTATTAAACAGTAAAAGAATTGCCACTTGCCAGCTACAATTCTGACATCCTCCACCAGAGGGCAGATGACATGTAAAGGATTAAAAGGGAGAAGGCCGTTTTGACTTGCTTTTAGCACTCCCTATTGTCTGTTTGTAGAACCAAAAGCAAAACCCATCTTCTCACTGTGCGTTTGTCTTTTTAACACCTTAACCTAACAGCTGAAACATCTCCCAGCCTTCCTTAGTGTCTACAACAATTATTCATCACTAAATGAAACAAATATGCTGTGTTCGCGATTTAAAACATGCTGAAGCCAGACTGCAGCTCCAAGTATGCCAGCTCTAATTTTTCTAGTTCCCAACTGAGCGGACCAGCAACTGTGAAGCTGCAAGTGGAATATCCTTGCCACAGGGAGTGATAGGAGCGGGACGGCCTTTCATTAACCATGTAAAGGGTCATTTTAGCACATACCGGATCAAGAAAATTATTTTAAAATATGAAAAAGTTGCAACGTATCCCTTTAAGGCAGCATGTTCAAGGAAAGTACTAATCCTGTTATGGAGGTAAAATGTCTTAACGTTTTTGAAAAGTGGCTTAAAGTGACTTTGGGAGAAATAATATTTACTGCTTTGCAATCTAAAACCAAATAAAAGTTACTCGATGGGTCATTGGATGTCTTCCTTTTCTTCATCCGCTTACTTGACCTCCAGGCTGTGGGAAGCTCACTGGTGTCAGCAACCCCATCACAGTTCGAGCATCAGGATCAAGATTTGGCTCCTGGATGACAGATACGATGATACCCAGCTCAGACAACAGAGTAAGTCTCCTTCCCTCCTTCTTCTTCGAACTTCAAGAAGCAAAAGATGACATTACCAAACAGAGGATAAACAAAGTCAACAGAAACAAAAACAAACATCCCTCACAGCAGTGCTGTCATGCTTTGACGGTGACTGATTGACTGTTTTGCCTGAGCAAGACCTCTGATGAGGGAAGAAAATGACAAACACAGAGAGAGAAATGGGAATGTTAAGCTTTGTCACTGATGAATTGCATCTATTTCCCTCCTACCTGTCTTTTTTTTAAACTACAGCTGATTAATTGCTTCATCATCACAGGAGAAATGAGTGAGCTGTTCTCTGAATCACCTGGGTAATTACTAGGAACGTGCGCCAATGCTCTGGACTCAAACTCAATAGCTTCCAGAGACCAGAGATAACATGTAGGTAGATGTGGGAACGAGAAAAAACAAAGCATGGAGGATTTGGGAATGAAAGGTGTGAAAAGAAGATTTTTAGTGATTATTTTAAAGGAGAACTGTAGCTGATGGAGTTTAGCAGAAGAGATGAGGTTGGCCATTCTGACGACAGTGTCAGTAAGCTAATATAATAGACACGTTCCTATTGTTTCAATAGATAGATACATCTACCATCTATGCAGTCATCATTGTTTTATGTCTAAAGGTCGCTGAAGGGTCAGAGCTTCGCCCTGGCTCAGCCTCCTGCTTCCGTTCAGCTCAAAAGCACTTGTTTTGCAACCACATAAGAAACCGTGTTTAAAGCTTTACAATCTGCCCTCCTCCATAATTCATCTGTTGTACCACACCAACACAACTCTTTTCCTCCACCACTCACTGCAGCTGAAAGGAACCCACTCTTTACAAGAGTAAAGCCTGAGTGTGGGCGGGAGACGAAATATGATGGGGGAGAATAAAAAAAATATTGTTTTAGCTCAGCAAAGGCGCATCAAAATAAATAAATACCCAATATGACAATTTAATGGAATCAATTGAAAGCTGAATTGCGCCTCCATGGAAGTGACGGGGGGATGAAAACTGAGATGCAACCAGAGAGGCAAGTTGTGTCAGTAGATAGATCCGCTGAGGGCGCTCAGGGAAAAAGATAGAGTTGCTAAATGGATCGATTTTCTGTAAACGGGGACTGAAAAAGGGCAGGGAGCGCAAGTGGTGGTTGCCTGGAAAGCACAGGCAACCACCATCACCCACATGCAGGAGAGATCAATAACTGTACACACACACACACACACACACACACACACACACACACACACACACACACACACACACACACACACACAAGCATCCACTTATGCACAACAGCATGAAGGCACATACCTCCACTCAAACAAGTAGATTCACCACACATTCATCATTCTTACCTTGCTTGAGGCAACGCCGCTAGCAAAACATTACTGAAACATTAAGGTGTTGCAGAGCGGTGTGCCAGGTGCAATACAGGAATAATCCCTCATAACCTTCAGATCTTTGCATTAGTCTCTTTAATCTGACTTATTCTTCCACTGGGAATCTATTTTTTTATCTGTGTGTCTTTTGTTTTCAACAGGTCTGGTCCATGGACGGTTACTTCAAGGGGCGGCGTGTCCTCGAATATCGTACGATGACCGACTTCATGAAGGGCCAGAACTTTGTGCAACACTTGCTCCCACATCCTTGGGCTGGCACAGGCCACGTGGTCTACAACGGCTCACTCTACTACAACAAGTACCAGAGCAACATCATTATCAAGTATCACTTCCGTTCCCGTAGCGTGCTTGTGCAGCGCAGCCTCGGCGGAGCCGGATACAACAACACTTTCCCGTATTCCTGGGGTGGCTCCTCTGACATTGACCTGATGGCGGATGAGAATGGACTTTGGGCTGTTTACACCACCATCCCCAATGCTGGGAACATCGTCATCAGCCGCCTGGAACCCCAGAGTCTGGAAGTGCTGCAAACCTGGGACACGGGTTTTCCCAAGCGTAGTGCTGGAGAGTCTTTCATGATCTGTGGCACACTGTATGTCACAAACTCCCACCTTGCTGGTGCTAAGATCTACTTTGCCTACTACACCAACACATCAAGCTATGAATACACAGACATCCCATTTCACAATCAGTACTCCCACATCTCCATGATGGACTACAACCCTCGGGAGAGGGTTCTATACACCTGGAACAACGGACACCAGGTGCTCTATAATGTCACACTCTTCCAGGTTATTAAGACGTCTGGAGACTAGAGGCCCAAATTAAATTGAAACAATGCTGTGATCATTGTTTAGGGGAAACAGAGGAGCTGTACGGAGATGGGTTTGGTCCATGAGAGATCGTGGTTGGGGGCTGAAATCTGGGGGCTTAGGCTCAGATTTTTTAAAAGAATTTCAATCTTCAAAGAGTGCTATTATTCACATTCTGAGAAGATCTTCTGACAACTGAGTCAGATTCAAAAGACTGAGCATTTTGTTTTGTTTTTTATTTTCCTGTCTGTGATGAATAAGCATGGTTCTTTTTATTTGTGAAGACAAATAAAACATCCACTTTACCATTAAAGATGTTGTTTTTTCATTGTTCCTCCCCGTCTAAACAAGACTTTAGGCTTGAAAGTGGTGGTAAAGGCCTTGATGGCTTTATTTAATGTTTCACTTCCAACATTTTTAAGGTTCTGCCCAACATGATGGCTCTAAAGATAATCTTTTCAGATATTCCTTCCCATGTGTGGTGTGTTAGGAGTGCTCTTGTGTGCTTGTGCATGTTAGGACTGCTCAGATCATAAATACGGCCTTTCGAACATGTTGGATTGTCTTGGTCTGTTTTTTGGGGATAAACAAAGGCGCTGCTTGTTGAATGTGACATCAGGCCAATCAGAAAGGGAGGAGATTGAAGTACACTGCACGCTTCTCCTCCACCATGTTTGTTTACTTTGAAATAACATTTTATTTTGTTAGATTGCCCATGTGAAAAAGCCCAGTTTGTGTATGAACTGGGTTTGTTTGTAGTGTGTACTTTTGGCTGTGTTGCTGAACATCACACACTGTATGACTGAAATGGTTATATGCATGATTTTTAACTCTTGTGGTCTCACATGCTTTGAAAATCGGCCAACAGTTTGAAAATCCTCCCTTGCAACCCGGGAGTAATTTATCTTTTGGTAATCGTTATTTCTTTTTATATAAATATTGGAATCTGACCAGTGAGATTCAAGGAATAAAATGTAGACATAAAATGTGTTCATCGTTCAAAAACAGAAGGTAATTACCACTAATGCAAAATTCCCCCCCAATCATGAAATGACCCGGTGACAGCAGTTGAATATTGACAAGATACTTTTCTTTATCTTGAAAAACAGCATACGCCTTTGTGCATTCTGGGCAAACACACTTTATGCTTCCATGGTGTGAAATTCAACAGCCTGCCAGCACTAACATTTTATATTACAAAGGTGTTTGGAAGTGAAAGCAAAACATCTGGTAAAAGGTGCAGGCGTTGGTGTGACTGGCTGAGAAGAGGGAGTGAGAAGCCAAAATGTAAAAGGTGTTTACACTGGAGCAGCGAACTGATGCTTCACAGTCTGTGTGGCTTGTCAGGCTCCAATCTGCTTTAACCGTCCCACTGTCCTAATGGGTGTGACCCCGCGAGGAAAGTTGACCAGTGAGCAGGGTTGATGGTTTATCCCCTGGGTCCATGTGGCAGGGGTGAGGAGTGAACACCACCTCACTCCTGCCACGCGGACCTCAAGGGATAAGCCATCAATCCTGCTCACTGGTCAACTTTCCTCGCGGGGTCATCCACAAAGACTGTGGGAGGATTAATCTTGTTAGTCTCACGGATTTTCCCTGGAGGCCTTTGCAGAGAAGTGTTCAAACACAAGGCACACAGTGGGACACTGGCATTAGCATTTCCAGCTAAGCCCGAGAGGATGCAGCCATTCTTTGTTGACACCATGGTGGATCCAGAAGACACGAGATGAAATAGGAGGTTCTACCTTTTTTGTCCTGTGTAACCATGGTGATTCTCTTCATCCTGCTGACCTTTCCATCAGTAAGGGTTGTGCTGGAGAAAACCTTGAAGAGTGCACACACTTTAGTGGCTCTCATTTATTACAAAACTCAATGATACACCATGATGAAGGGTGTGACGTTATTAAATGTAATTGTGTTGTTAGATCTGGACAAGAAAGGGAAAATAAACATGTCAATAAAAATGTTTTACACCAAGAGTATAGAGGATCTTCCTTACAGAAGAAGTAAAACACTATTGAGCCGCAGAGAAAAACATACTACTTGTTCAGGTTATTTGGAATCAGAATGCATAGTAAAGCTATTGCTCATTATGACAAATGCTTAACAAGACCTTGGTCAAAGCTACATTTTCACCAGTGCACAGATGTGCTAATATTAACAAGTACTGGTCACAGAAAAGACCGTATAACAATGGACTTGATGTTGCAGGCTCACAATAACTGAGAAACATAGAACTTATTAAACTAATTAAAATTGACAAAAGGCAATAATTTAAAATGTAAGCTTATCTTTCGGAAATCAGTACTAAAATGTATGCCTCTTGTAACTAAATGGGAGAATTGGTGTAAATGAGTAATAAAACATGAAATGCTCACTGTGGTTTTACTAAATGTACTTGGACAAAAGCAAGATGGCAGCAGATGGTGGCTGAGAGCTCCACCGTGCTCCACCAAATTAATTTGCATCTTTTCACATGTCTTGTGTCAAAACTGGGACTGGTTTTGTTTCCAATTGATTGTATTCAGTCAGTCAACATTTTCATGGACTTAGATGGGATCCCAGGCTCTCTGTGGATAGAAGTTCCTGCTGAGACTGCAGAGAGACAGAAAGCAAGAGCAAGTTCTTGTAAGGAGTAAGAACTTGTAAGGAGACAGCCACACAAAATTCTACTTTCCAGCCTCTCTCACCCATTCTGTCTTTCCTCCCCCCTCTCATACATCACAGCCATCTCAAATAAAATGACTGGCTCGAGGCAACAGAGAGAAGCTGGCTGACTTCGCTCAGACTTCTGCTTTTCACACAAACCTGGCTGCATTCAGTCATAACATATGGTGCATCCATTCATCCATCCATCCATCCATCCATCCATCCTTCCGTCCATTAATTTATCCTTCCATCAATCAACCCATCTTTTGATGCATGCATCCATGTATCCATGCATCCATCCATTCATCTATCCTTCCATCCATTAATTTATCCTTCCATCAATCAACCCATCTTTAAATGCATGCATCCATGTATCCATGCATCCATCCATTCATCTATCCTTCCATCCATCAATGCACCCATCCATCCACCCATCCATCAATTCATCCATCAGTCCTTTCATCAATTCATTCATCCGTCCATCCACCCATCCTTTGATGCATCCGTCCATCCATTACTTCCTTTTTTATTTTTATGTAGCGTGGTGGATTGTTGCTACATAGGATCAGTAAGATGTGACATTCCATATAAATATGAAATATCAATCCAATTGGTCTTTGAATATTTTATTCAATATTACCTTCAGTTCGTTGGACTATTCAGGGAACACACTTCATATTAATTCAGACAGAGTCAAGGATATAGTTTATAAAAATGAGTTTAATTCTATCTTTCTAAACTATCGATTATACAGTGGTGTGAAAAACTATCTGCCCCCTTCCTGATTTCTTATTCTTTTGCATGTTTGTCACACAAAATGTTTCTGATCGTCAAACACATTTAACCATTAGTCAAAGATAACACAAGTAAAGACAAAATGCAGTTTTAAAATGATGTTTTTTATTATTTAGGGAGAGAACAAAATCCAAACCTACATTGGCTTGTGTGAAAAAGTAATTGCCCCCTGAACAAAACTGGTTGGGCCTCCCTTAGCAGCAATAACTGCAATCAAGCATTTGCGATAACTTGCTACGAGTCTTTTACAGCGCTCTGGAGGAATTTTGGCCCACTCATCTTTGCAGAATTGTTGTAATTCAGCTTTATTTGAGGGTTTTCTAGCATGAACCGCCTTTTTAAGGTCATGCCATGGCATCTCAATAGGATTCAGGTCAGGACTTTGACTAGGCCACTCCAAAGACTTCATTTTGTTGTTCTTCAGCCATGCAGAGGTGGATTTGCTGGTGTGTTTTGGGTCATTGTCCTGCTGCAGCACCCAAGATGGCTTCAGCTTTAGTTGACGAAAAGACGGCCAGACGTTCTCCTTCAGGATGTTTTGGTAGACAGTAGAATTCATGGTTCCATTTATCACAGCAAGCCTTCCAGTTCCTGAAGCAGCAAAACAACCCCAGACCATCACACTACCACCACCATGTTTTACTGTTGGTATGATGTTCTTTGTCTGAAATGCTGTGTTACTTCTACGCCAGATATAACGGGACATTTGCCTTCCAAAAAGTTCAACTTTTGTCTCATCAGTCTGCAAGGTATTTTCCCAAAAGTCTTGGCAATCATTGAGATGTACCAGACTGATGGATCTCAATTACTTTAGTTCTCATTTGTTCTTGAATTTCTTTGGGTCTTGGCATGATGTCTAGCTTTTGAGGTGCTTTTGGTCTACTTCTCTGTGTCAGGCAGCTCATATTTAAGTGATTTCTTGATTGAAACAGGTGTGGCAGTAATCGGGCTTGGGGGTGGCTACAGAAATTGAACTCAGGTGTGAAACACCACAGTTGGGTTATTTTTTGAACAAGGGGGGCAATTACTTTTTAACACAGGGCAATGTAGGTTTGGATTTTGTTCTCTCCCTAAATAACAAAAGCCATCATTTCAAAACTGCATTTTGTGTTTACTTGTGTTATCTCTGACTAATGGTTAAATGTGTTTGATGATCAGAAACATTTTGTGTGACAAACATGCAAAATAATAAGAAATCAGGAAGGGGGCAAATAGTTTTTTCTCACCACTGTACATGACAAAGTATAAATGCAATGATGGATGTGCAAGATTAAAGAAAATGAATAAAATGATGGAATGTAAGCTAGATGTTTAAGTAGCAACACCTTATTAAGTATCTGAGATATCTTGAGATGTCTGGGTTGTAAAGTCAGTTTGACTGTATGGTTTATAAAGCTATGGATAGTTCATAAACACACCTGACACCAGTGTGCAAGTCTACGATACCCTTGTGTGATGGCAACTCTCTGGAGGAAAGGCATCCAGAGTGGTGATGTCACCGGATGGAGTGGCTCCTCGAATCTCAAAGAGTTGCAGCTCCCTTTGACTTCAGATATCACCAGCCACAAGATACTACCAGGGTCTGCAAGTTAGACTTTCCACGTCGGAGGTGTTGTAGCATCTGAAAACACTTGCAGGGCTTTTGACCTTGAGGTCAAAGAGAGGATGGTCCCAACTGCTTTGCTCACCCGGTCGGCCGAACCAGGAGGCGGCATAGAACTGAGTAGATCAGGAAGTGGTCTAACCTTAATTAACTGTTGTTGACAAATTTAGACAAATCAGAATTGGACTAGTTTTAAAAGGCATTAACCAAATTTCTCAGGGAATCACTGCTTCCCTCAGACACTTAGAGGTTATTCTTAATGTGAAGTAAAAATGTTAAACATTAATAATGATATTATGAGGTGTGAATATACTGATAGATTTAATTCTTAAAATCAACAAACACTAATCTGGTGTTGTTTAAGATCTGAAATAAATCCTTACAAGAAAAACATTACTTTTAATTTTAACCCATCGAAAGTTTGTTTACAAATCAGAATATCATCGACGTAGATGATGGTACCTCACTTCTGAGCATCGGGGCAGGCTTTGTCCAAGAGGATGTTGAACTCAGAGGGTGAGTTTGAGTAGCCAAATGAACACTGTGTGAAGGTCTATTGGCGGTTGGTGAAGGTGAACGCTAATTTATATTGGTCAGACTCATGGACAGGGATTGTCCAGAATCCATACCCAATGTTAAGGGTGGAAAAGCATTTAGCATCTCTCACCTTCAGAAGATCTTGTTCCAGGCAGGCCATCGGCCACTGAGACAATGGAACTTGTGGTTAAGTTTCCTGTATTCAATGGTTAGTCGCCATTTACTATTATCCAATCCAATTTTATTTATATAGCGCATTTAAAAACTGCTTGTCAGCTGACCAAAATCCTGCTCAGAGTTAAACCTAAAAAGCCATTCAAATTTACTATTAGGTTTACTTACCGGCCACAACGGAGCCGAGTAGGTGCTGTGCCCCCCCCCCCCTCTAGATCGACAGCAGGGACAAGGAGCTCCGCAAAACCAATACAAAGGATCAAAGGCATGGAACTGAGGTCAGAAATGTACACGAGGTGTGTCATCATTCATCAACATAGGACTGACAATCAAGTGAAGAAGAGAAACGAACGAAAAGGTCGTGTCACCTGGAGCACATGCACAGATATTCATTGCACATGAGGTGAGTTCTGGTGGTCAACTTCCTCCTCCAGTAGCCAGGCAGAGGCAGTCGAAAAGAGAATGAGACATGAGAGTGAAGTCTGAACTGGTGTCCAGAAGAGCGTCACAGGGGAGCACCTGTTCGAGGGTCACGGCTACTTAAGGCTCCCCGCCCACCCTTGCAACTTGAGTTGTCCCAAAAGCATTTTGGCTGATTGGTCACCTGAGGGCACTGGACCATCGTAACAGGCGGATGGATCGATCATTGGAGCAGTGAGGATCTCGAGGTAAAATGGCTTCTTATCAGAATGATGATGGCTGTTTTTTATGTTAGCACATGCTAACATAAAATGTGTCCTGTACTTTACAATAAAACATTGCAGGGACATTATTAATTTTAACCCATCATTGATTAATGTAAAGTATGCAACACATTATTAAAACAATTTGTATTTAAACAAATTGTTCATTCAATTTGAAGCCCCCCTAAAACGGACCAAACGACGTCAGCGACTGTTGGTGGAAGTCTCACATTTTCAGTTGATAAAAACTGTCATTATGTAGCTGAGAGAGGCTGCACGAGTAACGAGATGTGCGCAAAAAGGAGCCGCTTCGCGGGGAAAGCACTGGCGCGAACGGAGAAACAACAAACAATTAGACAGGTATTGACGTAAACGTCATATTTTGGAGCGATCTGGACAGATATATTGTCTCTGCAGTTTAGTAGGCTTTTATTAGGCTTATATAAAGGATGATGAGAAAGATAAATGTCCACCAGGCAGTTCAGATAGTATGGCTGTTTTTTGAACTGGAAGCAGACAATGTGGACGGAGACTCA